CCCATCACTGAACAAATAATATTATTGTATTAATAATAATAGCAATAATAAATTGTTTTTAATGTTAATTTTGAGTGATTTATGATAAATATCAATGTGTTAATCCAGTTTTATAATTTACGGGATTGATCCGAAGACAGTGGGCGAACCATCACGAAGTCGATTCCCGAACGGCATGAAAAAGTCCATTATCCCTCGAAGTAGTGCATACATAACCCCCGTCCGCCGATCGAATCCCCATTTTCCCGGCATCCCGACCCGATCGGAAAGACTACGGGTAAGGATGATGATCTCTCGCGGTGGAATAATGTCCTCCCGACGTCAGCAAGTAGTCGAATCACCGAGCGACTGTCCCCGAAGAGTCTGAGTGTGTATAAAAGGCCAGTTAATGCCGCCAGTAAAGGGGGATGGTGGAAGATCACCAGAAGGGGTGGAGTTTTCCGGTCGGCCATCTCCCTTCGAAGTCACTGTATTCACCCAATTTCCACCCCCGACACAACCCTCCGTGGTTTTTTGGTTTCTCTGACTTTGTCTCTCATACCGCGGGGGTGAGTTCTTTTTTTTTATATTTTTTTTTCTTTTCTCTTTTTTTTTTTACATTGCCCACCGATTTTGCGGAACGGGCACAGGAACCACGCCTGTCCCGTGTTCACCGCATCCAGGATGGATTGTCTGCGATCGAGGGATCGTTTTCCAGGGGTACAACTACCCCACGTATCCTGAAAAATACGAGCAACCCCAACTCCTGCAGTCCACTTGCTCCACACGTGGAATTTTTCACTGCACAACCCTGAAAACCTCTTACCCCGTGGTTATTCGTTGGTGAATTGGTGCGGCAGATTTTTATCACCCCTCGGGGTTGCTCTTTGTCTTTTTACTGCCGACTGTTATCCAACGACTCTGACCAGAGTTCTTATTCTGGATTTTTTTTTTTATTCCGTGGCGATTACTTCTCCGTTTGCCTTTTTGATGGGATGACTCGTCTCGGGGTGAATTTGGAGGTAGTTTCGGAAATGATGTGTGAGGGGGTGCTTGCCGATTTGAGTCTTTTAGTCGAGCAAGTGTCGAGGGATCATTGCGAGGAATTGATCGACATTTTTTACGATGCTCACGACGCACTCAAGAAAAAATATATAGAACATTCAAATTAATGAACAAATCCACGAAAACGTAAAATTAATTGTCCTTTTTCATACCAGAATTTTACATGTAGTAAAAATATTTAAAATATCTCTCCAGATCTTAAAAAATTGGAAATGTCAAAAAAAAAAATTATAAATATTCCATTCGGAGTTGATTGAAAGTGAGAATTGAATGAGATGAGAATTGAATCGATTAGACATCGAGTGGAGTAACGAAAAAATAGTTTTCCCTGTTAAATGATTGATATACCCTCCCCCATTTCTCAGTATAATAAATTCAGAGAGACATTGGTACGTGAATATGACGCGAAATAAGTCAAGCTTTGTAGTTAACGATGTGAAAACTGAAATCGAATCTTGCACACCGAGGAAGAAGCGTTTTGCCCGGTTATGGAAACTGGTACGACGGAGGCCGCAAAGAGACAGAGAGTGGAGTGTCACTGTGGAACCGGACCAGAACAAGGAGGGATGGAACGATGAGGGTTGGAACAAGGGGAACGAGAGGGTAGAATTGAGTGAAAGAGGAACGAGAGAATCCAGTGGAATACAGACAGCAAAACTGTCGGCTAACGAGCGACAGACGATATCGTTCATCTTTCGTTCCGCTTTAATTATGCTTCACTAATTATGGCTTAGCCAGTAATTACACTGTTATAGGAGACTCCTCTGGCCTAAGAGAATACATCTCGTGATAATGATGGTTGGGTATTCGGCAGAACCCACTCCATCGTCCTCATTCGAGGTGTCAAGATGAAAAATTGATTTTTTTTTCATTTTCACGTCAGATTATTTAATTTTGCCCTCCAAAACGCAAGTTCGTTATTTAAATAATTAACCATTATAAATGAAAAGAGTAAATGGAATAAATCGATGATTATATTTCCAGTGATCAATTAATTAAATGTAAACGAAAACTTATTGATCAATTTCTCGAAATTGAAAATGAAAAATTCCAGGTTTTGGTGGTGTTGCGGTGAAATTTTAACAGGGTAAATATTTCCGAAATTGGTCTGGGGAAATTGGAACTAGAATTTTTAACAGGATGTATTAATCGGATCTCCCGACAACTGCTCGATAACAACTTTAAAAGCGGAAAATACTATTGAAACGGAAGTATTGCCTTCCTTCACCGTTGGTATCGGGTCGAAGCGGCCCACAAATTTACATCTATCTTTCTAATTTCGTTGGGCCAATCTGCATGTTGTTATGCCACTCCATGCCGAAGGGTTGGGGGGTTGGCAGGAGAGGAAACGACGGTCCGTTAAAGCCGAGGTCGCTTAAATAAACCGTTCCCGTGAGACTGTCTATATTCCACCTCTCTTACCACTGCCATTCTCCTCACCTCCACTTCATCCCCCTCACTTCTACCTTTTTTTTTATTGGTCTTTACAGTCTTTGCACTTGTCTCGACAGCCCTCGAATTCTTGCGATTTAACAATTGTAAATTCAATTGCCGGTGTTTCGAATGGGATAAAAAGTCAATGGTTGTTCCATGTTTGTTAATCAAATTTTCACTTCCTTCTGTCATCAACGACTTCCCGATGTTTGACGTTCGCCGGATTTTTTCACTGTCCAAATAACTCAATTCATTCTCTCCTACTCGATCGACAAAACAAAATCATTTATTCAGTAATATCAATCAATATGAATTTTAATTTTCAATCAAATCAATAATTTTTTTATGAAAATGTTTTTTTATAAATTTTTAGAGAATAATTTTTTATTAAAATTTTCAAGGTTTTCTAAAATTCGGTGAAATATCAGAATTACTTAGATATGATAAAAATTATGGAAAACCGTACGGAAAATGAGAAAGACGAAATAACACCTAGTCTTTTCCCTAGAAAAACCCAGCGACAAGTCATTGTGTTACGAAATCCTCTGCTGAATCCTCACAGTCCCGGGTAATCTTACCGATTCATCCGGTCTTCTCCCTTTATCTTTCTGAGAGTGGGCTTCACGTTCAACAGACTGGCCAGATAAACTGCGAAACGAAAATCTCGGCTTGTAGATCGAGCCATTACCAAGGGTCCCCCCTTGCGCCACCTAGTCTGTCCCGAGGTACGAGGGGATTACAAAAGCATTAGGGATCGGTGATAGGACTTCACTCGGACACCGATGACACGTCTTACGGTCGCAGAAAAGAAAGAAAAAAAGAAGAAAAAAAAAGTCGAGGTCGAAAAAAACTCAATCCACATGCCACCAAAAAGTCCATTGATCCTCCGGAACTCAATCCCATGTCCACAGTGCTAGTGAGATGATCAAGATCTAAATATTCACACGAGGCTAATTACGACTTGATTAACGATTTTTTATTTTTATTTTTTATTCCACAGCCGCAACGATCGCTCATGACGCGTGTGGGAACATCCCCGTCGCTACAGCCCACCCTAATCACCAAAACCAAAAGTCTGACATCAGCATAACCAAGTCAACTGTCTTCAGCCTCTTCCTCAGCAGCCGTGTTCATCGCAAGTAACGAGAGAACCCACCATGTCAGCGTCGTGTCATGACGGCAAACAATGCATCGTTAATTGCATCAGGCCTCAAATCTAGCCCTCAAGCGGTGTACGAGGTAGATAGAGAGACCAACGCCGCACCTCAGTGAATCGCTTTACCTCGAAATCCCCCGTCCTTGCCATGTGACCACATGGGGTAACCCATCCGTCTCCCCAGCAATCGGCGTCTTCTAAATCCTCATCCCCTTCCCACCCACCAGCCCACCCTCTTTCTGCCCTCTACGTGCTACCTCATGCCCTTCATCAAACTCTTGATATCCACACACCTCACCAATTTCAACGTATATACGCGCGATGTGTGTGCACGCCTGGAGTAACGGTGCGCGTTGCTGGTGGACCTCGACAAAATGGCGGTAATAAGGGGTGTCAGGAAAATGGCCGCTCTGATGAAGCCTGAATCGCGGCATTATGGGAACTGATTGCACGAAACTGTGCAACGAAGGGATGGGGGAGGGAGAGTGAATGAATGGTGTAGGTAGACAGGAGGGGGGGTGGCAGAGAGGGATGGAAGGAGGTGGGGGCGGGCAGGGGGGGTAAATGGGGTTGCAAAACGCCAGGGGAATCGGGAGACGGAGAATTCAGCTGAATTGCCGGAAGAGAGGGACGGAGGTGATACGTCCAGGATGACTGGTATGAGGTACAACTGAGGGATGAGATCACGGGAAGGGCATGCGGTCACGTACTGCCAGGAGCGCAGAAAGGGTACAACCACTGTCCCCCAGGGGTGGGGGGTTATGGAGTTAGTTAGCGATGTGTGATGCCGTGACGCTCGCACGGGTGGGGAATTGTGGGTGGTGAAGGGGTGGGCGGGGGGATGCAGTCACGGAAGTGAGGAGACGGTGTAGGTTAGGAATGCTAAATTGTTCCTGGGATCACGTGGAATTACCCGCGAAATTATGATCCGATTAGGGACACCGTTCATTTAGTCAGATTCAAAATTTCAACGTGACTTGGAATAACGATTAGGGGCTATCTCGGCGGGAGTTGTGGGAGTTCTTCCGTGGTTTTGAGGGGTGGGGGAGGGAAACTGTTTAAAAAAATTAGGTGGAAGATAATTTCTGGCGGTGAATGAGATTTCAATTGCAGTTTTTGAGGGAATTTGGGCTGTCGAGGACTTTGGATTCGATCAATTGTATTATTTGGAGTATGGGGACATGAGAAAGACTGTCAACGTGACACTTGGTCTGGTAACTGGATTGTGTAGATCGGGTGATGGGACATGAACAAACAATGAATTATTTAAGAGATCATTTGGATACGCACTGATCTGATCTGTATATCAGTCTAATGGGTACATATCGGGGAACAATCAAATCGGTTGGAGAACAGTTCTGTAATTTATTGTTCGAAGACATTATTTTTTGATGGAGTTCTGAGTTTAAGCAAATATGTCTATTCGTATTAACGAGTACAATGAAATGTCGAGGAGGATGAGGTGCTCGGTATATTTTACACCACTTTCATTTGATGGCCATGGAATTGAAACATTCATCCCCAGTGGAGGCCTCTCAATAATTCAGATCTCGCGTGACTCTTGAGGGTGGATAAACGTACTTGTTCTGTTCTGTTCTTGTGGAATTAATATTTCATGGGAACAATAAATGGCGCTGGCTCACGTTCCGAGTAGGGGATGGAAGGGCGGAGACGAATGTGAAGTGTCTCGAATAATTCTGCACTTGTGTTCAATCCCGAGCTTCGCATTTCTGTTTTTTTTTTGGTTCTCCATTGTTGTTCAAGTAGAAAAATATTTTCCTGTCGTTTCTCGGTTGTATCGGGCGATAGTTACGACGATCGTTGTTTCGCAATCGTAATTTTCGTAATTCCACCATCTGAAGGGATTTAGATATTACAGAACTATTTTATGATTTAAATATTTTTAATGGTTTTTATGATGTAGTTTAGATGGATAATTCAATGATTGAAAATAGTCTAGGGCAGAGGGCAGAGGGCAGAGGGCGGAGGGCGGAGGGCAGAGGGCAGAGGGTTGATGCGTTGATTGAATGAAATGAGTCTTGGAATGAAATCTATCTGGAATAATCACTTGCGAGGTTGATACAGGAGAGACGAAGTTCGAGAGAATCCAAATGACAGATTCGAGACAGGGCGGAGTCGTCAGAGACCCCATGTACGACATGAAGGAGAACTGTCTCCCGATTACATCAAGCACCGTCAGGGGAAAAGGCATCACATTGACTTTTTTGTTCGCTTCCCTGACATCTCCGATGTGATCAAAAATCATATTCAAGGGCGCCACCCGCTCCGGATCCTCGTCGATCTACTCAAGATGAGATTCAAGAATATCTCAGTACACAATTATTTGATTGACGGTTTTTATACCTCAAAAAATAGCCCGATAACCGCTAATCCATCAGGATGGCGAAGAGCCTCGTTAAAGGAGCCGTATGTCCTCTTCCAATGGACCATATGCATCTCCAAGGGATAGCTGGCCAGAGAAATACCGAGATTATTGCTTTCAGTTGGAAAACAGTATCAGTGTTGTAAGAGAGATTTACCTAGAGCCATCAGTGGTGTGTTCACTTCCCACTGTGTTATCCTCGCCCCAGTGGAAATGTAATTGCGTGAAGAGGTATTCACCACGAAGAGGACCACCAGTTATGAAAGGAATTGAAGGTGCCGGCCAGAAACCTGAGAGTTCCACTGGCAACGAAAATAAAAATTCCATTCCCGGAGTAATTAGGATCTCAATAATTTTATGAAACCCCAATGTAAATACGAATATAAATATTCAGTTATATGGAATCATCCATTAATTAATAATTCATTCATTAATTTTTGGGTTTTTCAAATGATATGAATTTTTTTTTTCTATCATTTTTAACGTACGTCGAAGACGAATTGCATATTTTACTCACAAGTATGGCCATTATTAAAAATGGTAATGTTATCGGGGACATCATCGTAGCCGATCCATTTGAGGGCCGGTGAATCCACCACGTACCGGAAATAATCGGGATTGAGATCGATGGGAGATTGCCTGTATCTATTGCAGATCGGGTAATTATATTTCCATGACTCAGGATCGATATAATTGAAGAGCTGAATACCACGCGGCCATTTCAGCAGTCCCACAGCTCCGAGAATAAAAACGCGTCGACTAGGACTAACGAAATGGAAAAAAATATATATCCAAAAATATATCTGAGTTGGAATATATTTTTGGATTATATATTTTTCCACGCGGGTACACGCGAGAGTTATTTATCGTCGAGACTTTTGAATATTTCCTCGATTGTCAGATATTCGGGAAATAATTTGTCGATAATTTGTGATTTCGGGCGAGGCCTGATGCCGATTAAGACTCCTTGTAGCACTTGATAAATTGGTCGAACAAATAATTGTAGCTCTGCAGCTAGGTCTCACCTTTCGTTACGCTAACCCCATAGAACAACATAACCAAAGTCGTGATTATCCACCAGAGCATGATGAAGAGGTATTGTCCTATCGATGAGACTACCCGTAATTGTTAATTACAGTCCCTTTGATACGAGAGGGTAATATCAACTTGAAATTTACTTCAACCTTCAATCTGAGTTGTATCGCACCAACAGCTGAGCTGAAGTGCTGGAGGAAGTCGTAAAAATTTAATCTCAGAACAATTTACGATCAATGCAATGGCTAATTAACCTGTCAGTCATAAATGCTATTCAATCTGTTAACTACATACTTGCAGAATGCCGGAGTTTAAGGATACTCTCGTTATTCCATATTCACACGAGAATCATTAATTCATGGAGAAATATGGAGAAAATACTTTTACTTCCTCTCGTCTCTCTCGAGGTATTGAACAACGCTTGGTTGCAGTTGTGAGAGTTTCCATTGACAAAATCCTGGGGAAATCGTTGCGAGGGGCCTGAGGGACTTGAGTGGAGGGTCCAATCGCGAATGCAATATCTTCCGGTGGTTTTCACTCAACAAATCTCTTTGAAAAAAAAAAAATACTAACTGTGATTTCATCGCGCTCGTTTAATTCCTCGAAAAGGTTGATGTCGATCTTTCCGAAAGCCGAAAAGAGATCTTGGGGGATCGCCAGGGTGGATTTAAATATTCGGCCTCTTGATCGCTTGAGCCCCTGGAAATGATCCTGGGGGTGTGGAGGACCACTCAGCGAATGTGGAGAAATTTTTCATAATTTTTTTTGTAGAAATTAAATAACAAGCTCTAAAGGAAAACAGCTAATGGCCGAGAGCGATGTATTTACTCTTGTTTTTTAGCCCTTTCCGATAATATCAACTGTTAATTAATATAATGAAAAAGATGAGCGGACATTGTCTCTCGGTTCAATGGGCACTCATTAGCAGCGAAGGCTGGTGTTTCAAAAGCCTGGCATTCTCGCTGCCATTAACAACAGCCCAATGAGAATATGGATTCCCGGGACAAGTGAAAATGTTGAAACTAACAAAACCTCGAGTTTCCACAATTTCATTGAATTTAAACAAGACCTTTCCTCTTTCCTTGTTTCTATTAATTGGATAACTTTGGTAATTAGTTGCAGTTCATCACATTTGAATTACTACAGATTGGAGTGTTAGTTGAGAAATAAAAAGCCCCAAAGAATTCCTCTCTGAATCAATTTTTTTTTATATTTCCTAGATTATTAAATATATAGATATGTAAGATAGATATGTAAGATAGATTTGTCAATTTTGATTGTTTGAAAAATTGGTATAAATTAATTATTTATTTTTTATCAGGTAATATTTTAGTCCGTCTGTGCATATATTTCATCATGACATTTCTGATATTCTCGGTGATATTTTCACCGCAAAAGAAATATCCGGAATAATTCAGTGGAGAAAATGTGTCCTGCTCTAGCGTTATTAATTAATGTAGGGGGTAGACGTAAAGGGCGTTTGGAGTGGTACTAAGCAAACATCAAAGAGCACGTGGAAATATATAGACCCCCCAATGAAACTTCCATTGAGAACGCAGGAAGAATGTTCATTCACAAGTGCGCTCACTGAATTAATGGCCATTAATAATAATTCATTATTATTACCATTTCTCTTTTTTTCACTGGGTGTTGGTTTTTACGGCGGGAAAATTATCATTCGTGGGGCTTGGGCATATCCCATTTGACTCGGTATCAACTGGAATTGGATAAATGATACTGCCGCTCGTTGTGGTTGTCTTGCTTAATGTAACAGACAACGCACCACATGCTCGTTACAACAACCCACCGGTGATGGCCCAATGCTTTCATTAACGAGACTCGTGCAATCATTATTTATTGATAACATCGTTTTTTATTTCGGGGATTTCGGGGAATTCGAGCATGAAAATTTCAGTTACGGTATTCGTAAAGCGAGACGAGACGAAACGACAAGTCGATGGAGAAATTGTTTTAAATTATTTATCCCATAGAATCATCTGTTTAAAAATACCTATAGCATATGCATATAAATATTTTTTTTTAATGGTATAGATTTTATTTATTGGATAATTCATTTGTTCGATGGTTGCAGTTCAACTCAAGAATTTTTACAACGAGAATTGCCAGGCCGACAAATGAAATTAGCCTCTCCCCTCTACATTGTTAATTAAAGTATCAACGAGGCAGAAAACCTCTTTAACTTAATACAATTCGGAATTTCAAGTGGTCCCGAGCTACACAGCTAACTGGACTAAGAGTTACAATTCCAGAATACGTGAAATTAGTCACCACTCTGAATGTATCCCCAGGGAAAAACGGAAATTAATGTATATTAAGTGATTTATAAATAATTTATTAGCCTTTTGTTATAGTCATCCGACACTGTATTTTCTCCATTCACTGGTAATGAAAAAAATTTGAAATGCACGGTTCACGGGTAATTTTCACAAGAATATTACAAACTTGAAAAATGCAATAAAAACTAAATCCCCGCGAATGATAATTTAGTCAGGACTTATTTTGACTTTGTGTCACCACCATGAGAATTCGCCACGTAAAATCGAGTGCTTGTTGTGGAATTCGTTAATTAAAATCTCATCTCTCACTGGCAAAAGGGTTTTCCTCGAAATTCATCGTTTTCCGGATATGAAGGAGCATTCATCGAAGCTCGCCACGCCATATCTTGCAATCTCGAGCCCGTAGCAGTGGTTTAGAGTAGTACAATAATTAAAGGACGTAATTAGTGCCAATTAACTCAGTAGTACCTGGCAGTCCTTCTCGCTTGTCTCGACCACTGGCGTCTGCCATAACCCTCGGCATCAATGACATGACTGTTTCCTCGCACCTCATCCTCCAACCTCCTTCAGATGATATTCCAACCCGTTGACTCCAATTTCCCAATATTCCGGATGAGTTATATCATTGTTAATTAATTCATCACATTTTGATGAGTCATTTTTACTCGAATTAATTGCACTGGAAATTTTAAAAATTCCTGTCACTTTCGCGAGAACCGATTTTTCGTGGAAAATTTCCAACCGTTTATTATGAAACACCCTAACTACCGGATCGTCGTAGAACAATGCGAAAACTTTCGCGATCATAAACTGGAAATTCCATTGGGCATAATCCTGCGTTACCCAGACCGCGTGCATACCCTACCATTAAATCGTGAACTATTTAGTACCGGCTATCGTGCTTTTGGAACTGCTACCCGAGTAGTTGATACGTTAGAAGTCGAACGATCACCTAGGGGATGGGAAAATGAGTACCATAAGCAGATAATGCCGGAAGGTGTGCAGAGAGAGGTGTGGTAATCCGGGGAAAGTGGTAGCGAGAGGGAGGACAGGGTTGCACGGATAGTTTTCACTGCCAATGGTATTCGCTAAACTATTTCACAACGTATATTCTACGCCTATCCGGCGATTCTATCTCTTCGATGTGGCCCAGTATAATTTATCGAGGCACGCCGAATATCCGCCGAGGTTTATAGTTTAATAACGAGGAGAAGGCGCATCCCGGTGATAAGGTGGTGTTGAACGATCGAAATCGCATCGCCATATCAAAATTCGTGTTGGTCGAATAGGAAATATATTCCCCAACTCACTGACTGCAGGAACATGATCATCCTCATCATAATAGAGATAATTAAAATAATATAATAAATACTACATACTCATTACTCATTAATTTTGGAGATATATCAATTTTTTAATCTTCGATATATCCACCAAGGAATTTTATCGATTTAATTGATTCATCGATTTTATCGATGACTCCGGGAGTGAATCGGTTATCAAGAGAGAATTGATTAATTAAAGTGAAAACGATTGGAGGGAAGAACAAAGGAAATCCAAAAAAAAAATCGTCAACATTGATAACTCGGAGAATCGTTAGAGTGACGGGTTTTGAAAGGGCATGTCTCAACGACGTCGCCAAATGCCAGCGTCTCGCGTATGAAAGGCATCGGTCCACAGGTCCCCCGTTAATGGAGATCGTTTGCAACTGTTTAATTTGACTCAGACTGGTATTCTCCCCCCTTTTCCCTTCACCCCTCGTCACCCCCCGGCCTCTGGCACTCTCATTATCTCGTATTCCGTCATCCCCCTCGCCCCAACGCCGATCTCTCTCTGCAACGTCATCGTCCCATTCTCATTCTCCTCTGTCCCTTTTCTCGTACTCTCATACTTACCACCCCACCCCATCCCTTCTCATCCCTCCCCCTCCACTCATCCCAATCGTAACGCTAACAAGTACAACTCATTATAAGTTGACGTAACTGCGGACTGTCCCCAATTAAGCAAGATCGCAAGATATTATTCCAATATTATTTCGTACCCTCGGGTGTGCACACGATCTATACGCGACCTCCATTCATTGTTTATGTTGTTGTTACAGGGAAGAATGAGAGACGAAGGGAGAGAGAATTACCGAGATAACAGTTTTCAATTTGCTCACCGAGAAAATAAAAATGCCGAATTTTTTATTCGGATTCTAGAGTAAATAGCAATAATTTATTGCTATTAAATGCACGCTATAATCATAATAATGATAATAAGTGGGTGAGTGCTAAGTGATCATTTAATTAATGGTAATTAGTAAACAATGATTAATGATCAATAATACTCTCTGTAAAATTGAGTGATGAGTGATTTTAATTAGTAAAATTTGAGAAGATTTGTTCAAGATTTTTTTTTCGACTTTTCATTACGAGGCATGAGAACGGATGAAAAATATAGTCAAGGCTTTTTGCAAGAGGAATTTAACTGGAACCGTGGTACTTGGTTGCAACGTCGGCCATTATATTATCACCCCCTGGCCACCCCTCGATATTGAATATCTGATGAATTCAGGATAGTTTTGGAGTATCTGCTGTACCTCACAGATTACCACCATCCATACTTTGTGCATTCCAGGCTTAATTAATTACGGTGCATTATTATTAGAGAAGTATATGATACTCGGGAATTGTTGAGAAACCCCGTGGCCCTACGTTGATATATTTGTCTATTTCATGTTAATTATATGAATTAAAATATAATAACATATATAAAATAATATTAAGAATAAGATCAATAGTCAATTAAATTAGTTAATCAATAGAGAATAATCTGCCCGAAGAGCGACTTGTATTGAAAAAATAGAATTCCCCATTTTTTCTATTGTCTATCAAAACT